CTGAGAGGCAGAGATGGGGAAAGGGAGGGGGGAAGGGTGGGGAGACTGAGGCAGAGAGAGGGAGAGACTGAGGGACGGCGAGGAAGGACACAGCTTGCCCATCCCCACGCCTTCCTCTCTCCTCGTGGAGGTGGGAGGCGCCTTCCCAGGCCCAGCCTGCCGGGGGTGGGGTGGAGGAGCTGGTGAAGGCCCCCACACTGTGTCTCTAACTTTGGGAGGGGGTGGGGCCTCCCACAGCTGTTTCTGTTTCCAGAGAAGGAATGTGCAGGGTCCCACTCCCGGCCCGGGGAGGGGCTGGGCGTGCAGCCTGGGAGTCTGGCTTCAGTCCCCTCCCCAGTCCCCATCTGGGGTGGGGGCAGTCGAGGTCAGCAGCAGGGAGCGCCCCCTCCCCCGCCACCTCGGCTCAGGTTTCCCCAAACGGGAAGCTCTGGCCACCCACAGGCTTGGGGATGGGATCTGCACGGGGGGCTGGGGTCTGGGGCCTGGCGGGCTGGGGGGAGGGGAAGAGAGAGAGACAGGGACGGGGACCTAAGGCAGGAAGAGAGGTGCAGAAGGGAAGAGCAGGGAGACAGAAGCACACAGCCAGTCGCAGAGATGAGGAGGGAGAGTGCGAGGAGCCCAGGAAGCGGTCGGGAGAATCAAGAGATGACGAGAGGGAGAGTGGAGAATGACAAGAGAGTCATTCTGCAGACTTGTGCCTCGTCTCCCCCCATTAAAGCGCCCAGAGCCCAGAAGTCAGACCCCCACGGCCCCCTCAACCTGCCTCCTCTTGGGTTAACCAGGGTTGGGACCAGGTAGGAAAGGAGGGGAAGTGCCACAGGAGGGTTAAGATCACCGTGGGGTCCTCGGGGTCTGTGAGCTTCCCGCCGGGGGACCCTAAGATTCCCTCCCCCTGGTCCGGCCACTCCGGAGATCTCCAAGCACACCCGGACTTAGGGAAGATGGAGCCCTGGCAGCCGGGCCCCAGAGCGGGGCATGTTTGGATCCCGGCTGTGTGACCTTGGGTGAGTCGTTTGCCCTCTCCGAGCCTCAGTTTCTTCCTCTGTAAAATGGGGACTATCCCCTCTGATCATCCACGCTGCACAAAGACAACGCATGCCCAATACTGGTCCCCAGGCTTGACACATACTTGGCGCCCAAAAACATTTCCTTTGGGGAAGGGGTGCACGGGATGGGGCCCGTGCATCTCTATGGGCTCCAGCAGGGGTGATGCAGTGCCTCCTTCCCCAGTTCGGGGGTGAGGAGGCCACATCCCGCCCGCCGCCCAGACTCCAGGGT